ACAAGGAATGAAGGGACCAGTAAATAGGGATGACCCTTGTGTGACCATAACAGGGCTTAGCTAGTTTATCAATGATGTTAAGGGAGGGTTGGCAATAAGAATTGTTTGAGAACAAAAAGGAACACACAATACGCATTATCAATATGTGAATCATTAATTTTATCAACTAGTAGTGTGGTAGTGATGGTGTTAAGTGTGCATTATAATAATAATGATAAATGAAACAATAGCCACAAGGTGATGGCATCGTTAAAAAAAGGGAGAACAAAAACATGAGAAAATAAAGCAGGTCTTGATATAGACCCAGTCAAGAAAATAACAAACAAAAAGTTCAGTTTTTAACAGCCAGAGGAGGCCTGTCATGTCTTTAAAACTTGCAATTCTTTGTATGATCTTGATAACTGCTGTGCTGGTCTTGCTATATCTGGACCATCACAGGCTGTCTTCTTGTAGCAAAGACCATTGGACGCAGGACTTGGTGTGACACTGTCAAATTACTAGTAAAACTTATCTGACTGCTAGTATGTCCTGCTGATGACTTACTCAATTCCTCAATAGTGAACTTAGTGCAATTCTTCTGGACTGGTGCTGGCGGTGGGGAGGTGGTGACATCAGACTGAGGGGAGAAAGGAGAGGGACAGTCTGGACCAGTCTCTTCAACTTCACCATTGCTTGTCTTGTACTTCTGTCTCTTGTTACAAAACCAGACCCTTACCTCTTCTGGAAGTAGATCCAATTCCTCAGCAACCATTTCAATGATCTGACGGTTTGGCCTTGGCTCCTTGAGGAAGTACTTATTGAGGATAGAGAGAGCATGAGGAGTGTACACAACCCTTTTCTTCCTCTTTCGAGGTGGTCCTAGAGGGTCGACCTGACCCTCACCAGATAAGACCATGTCAGGGTTCTCAGCTTCATACAGCCATCGTTTGAGGACAGTCATGATAGTGGCAGCGTTCGAAGGGCTCAGCTGCATCTGTTCAAAACGGCTGATAGTACTTTGAGCAAAATTACTGTAACCTTTATCGGCTAGGGATTGACCCACAGCTCCTTGAGTGTATCCTAGTTGAATGCGCTTAGTCTTGAATTCTTCAGCAAAAGCCTTGAGCTCGTGGTGAGCTGGCGTTAGTTCTTCATCCGGTATCGAAGCAAGAGTGATGGTGTTCTTCTGGGTACCAGGAGAGAGGAGAGTTCCGTTCATGTTAGCTGGTGTGGTTGTTGGGCCAGTGTTGATTGGTTTGGAGAGAATGGCTGAAGGAGGAGCAGTCAGTGGTGACAGAGCAGGAGGGCTCTGAAGACCAGAGGCTGTTGACATGAGAGGAGGACTGCTACGAGAAGGGAAACTCAATGGACGATTGATGAGTCCATTTGGGGAATGAGCGAGCAGACCAGGAGGAACCAGAGTGAATATTGTAGGCATTGGGAAAGAGGCTGGTGGCTTGTAGAGGAGTGGTCCTGGAGGTGAGGTCAGCATTGAAGGAACTTGGAATGGAATGACAGGCTTTGGTCCAAAGCTCTGTTGCTGTACTGGACCAGGTGACCGGGCTACACCAGGCCATGAGCGAGGACCTTCCTCCTCTTCCTCTTCTTCTTCTGGTTCAATGTCTTCCTCTTCGTCATCAACAAGAATGGTAGCATTGACAGGAGCACTGGCAGTGGAGTAAGAGCGAGGGTGAGTAGTGTCTCTGTGTATTGGAAAGAATGAAATCATCACGGAGTTCAAGAGGAAGACACTTAGTACATTTAAATATCATTGACCAGCTGCTCAAAGCAAGGCAGAGAATGCGAAACATTAGTGCTGAGAAGCACTGTTTGATAATATTGTCATTTAAATGTTATTTGCTAAGGTAAATAGCAAACATGCTTGTACAGTATAATCAGCATCACATTATAGACAAACACTTTATTAAATAAGTAGCGCATTATCAGCATATCATGACAAATTATGAATTAATGCATAAAATGAATAACAGAGTTAGACCTACTTTGAATATGAATCTGCAACTTCTTCAGGCTGAGAGCAACTGCTACTGCAGAGGAAAGAGAGAGAATCAAAAGGTGTCATTCATCATGATCATCATTACCTGGTGGGCACTGCAGACACTGTTGTCACATGTATGCCAAGCTCTTTCTTTAAAGCTTCCTCTGTTTCCTATAATGGGAGATAGAGTCAATGAAAGGTAGAGGTATATATATGGAACTATGGATTACAAATATAATGAAATTCATTGGTCCAATCTACGCATGCCAAAACAGGAAATACATGAAGTAGTCAGGACAACTGGAGGAAGAGTGAAAGAATGTGAAGTATAAGGAATGACTGGTGGAGCGTACACTCTGTAGTATAGCAGCCAAGACTAGACACACACAGGGCTAATATATGCAGCAACACATGACCAGGTGGTCAAAACCAACAAAACCGGCACCCATATTTGGCTATTGTTAATAGCTGTATGCGCATGCCCGGCCCTCGGCTGACCACAATCATTATAGAATAATATCCTTCTCCTTTGATTATTTATTACATTAGAATACCCACAACTGGTGAGAATATTCATATACATAATTGAGTTATGTATAATAGCCTCCATGTACAAGTGTAAATATATTATGCCTTTTCTTGCTATTGATTTGCCAGGAGCCTTTTAAAGTCAAAAGTGAAGAGCTACTGTTGTTGTAAGGTTATTTCATTAAATTGTGATCACAGCGTATTTTAAAGGACAATTTTCATTGTCATGACATGAAATCAGTGTAACCTCTCTTAATGAATAAGAGATAGAGAGGGACCCACTTACAACTGAGACAATGGGAATATTATAAACAATGAAAACGAGCCCAAAGCATAACAATACTAATTATCATAATAATGATTATTACCACACAAAATGATAATCCTCATCACTCACTTTGAGGTTTTGATGTTTCAGGAACTGGAAGATGTTTGTTAGTGCCTGCTTGTCAGTGTTCATCTCTGAAAGGAGAGTATGTCCAGCGGCCATTAAATAAAGTCACAAAGTTTAGGATGGGAATGTTAAGCGCAAATCAACCGGGGAGAGAGAGAGATACAGGGTAGCTACTATCGACTAGAAGTGGTCGTGTCTTTAGTATCAGTGTCAGAGGAGACACTGTGTCTAAGAGAGGGATAGAGAAGGAGCTGCGGGTAAGGAGGCTGAAGTAACCTACTGAAGAGTCTGTTCTCTTCTCTTCCAAGATTTTCCCGTTATATACTCATGCAACTAGTCCACGGAAATTAACATAAGAATACGGAAAATTGAACAAGATTACGGAGCACTCTCGTGGTACTAGCCCCGCCCACTTAATCCATCTAATCAAAATGGCGGACAGGTCTCAAAATGAAACAGGTATTAATGTCACTAAAACCATGTGTACCATTAGTATTAATACAGAAGATCCTACAAGAATAAAAGAGGAAGGGAAGGAATATCCTGAAGAGGAAGGCGGAGACGATGAAAGTCAAAGAGCGGTTGATAGAAGGAGGAAGAAAGATGACTGTAGTGATGATGAAGAAGAAGAGATTGGTACTAATGGTAAGTACTTGATTGTATAGCCGGTTCGACTAGGGTATTCAACACATCCTCTTGTTGATCATTAGTGAGGGCACCATGAGGGCTGGGTTGATGGTAGCATTAGCTACATATACATGTTTTATGTGGTCATGGCACATAATGATCATTAGAATTCTCATTCTCATTCCTCAAAGGTTTAGGGTTTATTCTCTAATGTAATAAAGCACTGGGATTGCAGTCTACCCTACTGCTCAATGACAATCATTGTTAGTTCACTGGTATTGTAGCACTGGCATGGGGCAGTATTCAAAGCTGTACATGTAAATGTACATGTCTATCCTAATCTGTACTTGTGACTGTGTGACTTGAATAAATTATGAATGTTTAATGTTTTGTCACGGACTTGTAACATTATGATATCATATTGTCACGGTGATACTATATTTGCATTGTTAAAGCCAGTGATCATTTACTTTGCTCTATTTTTTGGTCTTGAAGTAACTCTATCACTAAAAGCCATGATTAGTTGATTCCCATACTCTTATTAGAAGTGTATTTACAGAAAGATGAGGCTACATACATGTATGCTGTACATGAATAACAGAACAATGAGCCAAGTCTGATGTAATTATTTTGCCAACTGAGCCCTTAGGTTGCTTATCCTTGGACTAGTCTTACTCTTTCTTTAGTGACATGTTGGCACTTTCCTCATACACTTTCAATGAAATAAACAATTATTATTAAATGTTGTATTGTTTTACTATTTGTGAGTAGCTAATTGTGGCAATTAATTAAAGACATACCTTGTAATGCTTTAAATTTTGATGAAAACCTCATTGGGTTATACCACTATCCACACATAATGCTGCACTGTACAGTGTACAGTGTACAGTGTATCATTATTGTAATGCTACAGTAGGTGACTCACCTCAGTATTAACTCATTCAATCATGTACCATGTAGATATACCATTACTGATATTAATATGGATTATGCTTATTCACCAACACACTAGTGATACTTTGTATAAGTACATTCACACTTTTCACTTGAAAGGATATTAAGTTGCTTCCACCACTCTATTCTAATAGCTGATGGAACTATCACCTCTCCAATTGTAATGGACTATTGTACATACCTACTGTACATAGAGTGTTGAACTGTCAGTATTGCTGCTAATAGTGTGCTCCCTGTTTTGATGTTGTATATTTCTTACATGTACAGTACATTATCATTATTATTATTTCTCTCTCATGGTCTGATGTATATTCTGTCCTGGCAGCCTCCACTCCTTTGATCTTTATATCAATAAGAGTAGCACCTACTCCTAATGTAAACAAACCTGCTGTTGCCATGGCACCTGGCTAGTTGCTAGGCGCTGTCTAATCTCTGTCCTATAGTACCTCTATCAAGGCTGGGTCTTGGGTTAATGTTGGTTTTTGATTCAAACTGGTTATAGTTACATTTTGACTTGAAATGATTATTTCAATTAGTTCATAAACTTCACACTAATAACCTCAGCTCAGCAACTACTCACATATGTACATGTACACATACCTATGCCTATATATTCCTTATAAGTCTAATTAAATATTTGTAAATCCTGCTGAGGCTGTTACCTGATAGCAGGGAGTGTGTAATTCATTCATTAGCTCCTCTAGTATTACTAGCCTGTGGTTTGGCAATAAGCTTTAGTGATAAATACTTTTGATAGACCAGCGCCTTATCTATAGACTTAGCGCTGGTCCTTGATCCAATAGAGTTGGTTCTTCTTTATGGTGGACTGTTTTTACAAAATGTCTGATATTGTCTATTGGTTGATATAATGATATGTTATGAATGGGTCTTAGTCCCTTGATCCTTGACCAGTGGGTAGTCCAATTGAGTGTTCTAAGTCTTCAAGGTGTGGGTCTGTATCCATTAAGAATGCTTACATGTGGTTGATAGGCAGACAGATATAAAGAGTCTATTCATAATTGTTGTCCTACATTGCAGACTCTCTGTGTGTCTGTCTGTCCAAATAAGGCCACCGCCTTTGCTTACTGTCTATACTGCTACCTCTACTGGTTTGTCTGATAGTCATCTCACTAGCTTTTTGTCTGCCCACATACTGATACTAATAATGATATTTTAAATCTGGTTTTAATGTCTGTTCTTGTATTACTGCAGTGTCTGATAGACATGAAGCGACTGATAGACATGAAGCGACTAATAGACATGAAGCGACTGATAGACATGAAGCGACTGATAGACATGAAGCGACTGATAGACATGAAGTGACTGATAGACATGAAGTGACGTCTAATGGAGACAAAGGGACCAAAGACAGACAAGAGCTAACTAGTGGGGGAGAGGAAAAGGAGGGAGACAGGGAGAGTGTTGATGGTAACCAAGATGAAGGAGAGAGTCGGGAGGAACAAGAAGATATTGAACTAAAAGAAGGCTCTGATCACAGTCATCAAGTGAGTTTATGCATCAATTAATTAATTAATTGAAAGTTAGGGGCTATCAATCAGTACATGGTCTCGGGCCAAGTTTTGCTAAAATTGAAAAGGAGAGAGTTCTTCATTTTTATTACATTTTCATATACATGTATGTATAAAATGTACTTATGTTGTATAGAAAGTTTGAGCTAATTTTAATAAAAATTGGATTGTTTACAATTTTAAAAAGTTGTTTGATCACTTAGCATGCTTTATGGGAGAACCTTACTGTCAGTTTATGTAAGAGTAATGTATTTATGATAGGAGGAAGAAGAGAATGAAGAGGAGAGAAAAGAGGAGGAGGGAGGATGGGAAGAGAACCCTGAAGAGGAGGGAGAGGAAGAGGCTGAAGTGTTAACAAAGGATAACCCGATGTTTGTCCCAAGGGCTGGCCCTTACTTCTATCATGACAGCAGGTTTGAGGATGAAGATGAGACTGGAGAAGCAGATCAGCCAACAACTGAAACAATGTAAGCTTTAAGGAGTTGAGCTAAGGCTCCTTGAAACAAAAGAGATTACAGTAAATGTACTTATTGTAAAGTTAACTAGCTATAGTCCCTTTGAGGCAATACCTAGTGAGTCAAGTGTGTTCACGTCCTGTTTATGGCAACTGTGAGAGGATGTCATCATCAAGATGACTGCATGGTTGATTCATGCCAGGTTCTGTTATGTCATAATTTAAACTGATTTGAGTGGGCGGTTTATTTGTATCCTCATACCTTTTATGGTAAAATAAATAATGATCAACTCTTAATAATAGTAGAGTGTGTGTGGGTGTGTGTAGTTGGCATCCAGTCCATTATTCAGTTATTTAGTCTAAGACACTAATCAAACCCCTAATTTGGTATTAAAGTGAGGACCATATGACATTGTGTATTCCACAGTGAGGATGGTAGCCATCTTGTAGTGTATCCATTGTAAAATGAACATAGTTTCTAAAGGAATGATAAACTATTCCAGTTGGTGAGTGGACCTCACTGCTACATAATGGGACATAGTTTTATTTGCTAGTTTACATTGATTTGTCTTAGGATAATAGTGTACACTTTCTTGTGAGGTATCTTTGTTTTCTTAAGTTATTGGTATTGGTATGTCTATCATGTGCTCATAAAGACACTCCAGTCCTCAGAGTCAGTGGATGAGGAATGTTCTTTGTGAATGTGATCAGTGATCAGTGATCAGTGATCAGTGATTATAATTAGATTTTTATGCCACATTCTCTTGTCCTGATCCTATTCCACTAACACCTGAATCATATGAACATACAGGCGGCAGGTCACTGGTTTCAGGGATCTACTGTATGACTTTTCTGATGTGATTGTTCCTCTTTCTTGTCCCTAATGCAGAGCTACTGTTACTAAGCTCAAGTGTCAGGAACTGGACAAATGGGAACACGACCTTTATGTGGCAGAGGAGCAGAAGCCTAGGGAAGAATGGGAGAAGAAGAAGGTATGATGATGACTGATGTTGATGAGTGATGTAATTCTTACCATTGTGTAGGATAGGGAATATTATGAGAATTTGGAGTAAGTTAATGGAATGATTGCTATTGTGAACTTGAACTTGACATTGTATTCTTTTCCATTACTCACACGGAAAATCTAATTCTTCTTTATTAATGCTCTGAATTATGTTATAATTATTATATTATTATTAGGAGGAGGAGGACCAGGCAAAGAGCTGGAGATGGAGCCGACAGAAGTGACAGAGGAAGAGGAACAAAACTTGGGGACTTTATGC